TAAAATTATAATTGATATTTCTTATTCTTACATTAAATGCTTTACTGTTCATATTTGATTTAAAGTTTCGTGCTGATTTTTCTTCAGGTATTCAATTTAATTTGTTAGAACATGACAGATAGAAAAATGGATACTGTGAGACTATTATGTGTCTGGTCTGTAAGATCTTTCAAAAAGATAATAAAGCAGGCTATGATTGAAGCTTCAACTTCGATCTTTTAAAGGCAAATCAGAAAGTGGCAACCAAATGTGTTGCTCCTCATGCTCAACCAGACATTCTCAGATTTTAAAAAATGAAACTGCAAGAAGAGGGAGAAATTTCTGATGGTCAAGAAGAAAAAATTCTGCCAACACTCAAACTCAAGTTTCAACCACTGGAGAGACAGTTCCAGCACCCACAGATACTGAGAAGAGCTTCTGCCCAAAACTTAATTACAATTAGTTGAATCTGAGACTCAAGTTGAAGACATTAATTAAATGACTATGTTCATTCTTTAGAGCCAACTCCTGCAGTGACTAAATTTGATTCTCCTCAGCAGCCTATTCTTTCAAAATTTGGTACACAAAACCATCACTTCAACCCTGCATAGTATAAGGAGCATCCTTGGATTTCCTACTCCATTCATGAAGACGAAGTATCATGCTTTCCTTGTGAAAAATTCTGCAGTGATAAAGAGAAGCAATTCACCTTCAAAGACTGGCAGCATCCTGATGTCCTCAACCAGCATTCTACAACAAAGGCTCATTCAAATGCCATGATCAAGTGGATGTGTCAAAGGGACATAGCTGATCATGGAACAACAGTTCTACAAATGCAAGAAACTAAACATTACAAACAAGTGAAAAAAACCATGATTATTTACATGCTAGTATTGAAGTAATTTTTCACTGCATTCAGCAAAACATACCAATGCATGGCAACAATGAGAATCACGGTAATCTTGGAGAATTGAAAAACCAAAACAGGGGCAATTTTCTAGAGTCAGTTAGCTTCCAATCCCACGACCTTCCTTGGATGAAAGAAAAACTTCAGAAAATGTCTTTTGCCTTTATGCTGTTGTTGTTTGTTAATAAGCACAAATCTATGCAAAGGGCTATCTGTGCTCTGCCCTCTACGGGTATCAAAACCAGTTTCTAGCGGCATAAGTCCGCAGACATATCGCTGTGCCACTGAGGGGGCTGCCCATATGCAGTGGACATCTCCTGAAATCCAACATGAGCTGATCAACTTAATAGCTGAACGAGTATTCTGGCATGTAACACAGTACATCAAAAAGCACTGGCTCGTTTATCATTATTGTCAATGAAACTAGGGACACTGGCCGGCAGGAACGAGTGTCACTCTGCTTCCGTTTTGTATATGTGGGATTCATCAAAGAATGTTTCTTTGGGTTTCTATAACACTCTTTCAACCACAGGAGAGGCTTTATATGACTTATTAAAATTCCTACTCAAAGAACATGACATTGACTTACCAATATTAGTTGCAATGAGTGTCTTGTCACTACACCTCAGTAAAAGTAGTGGCTTCAGTGGCAGAAACACGTTTGACAATAAAAAAGTTATGTTCAAACTTAACTTCTGACTCTAGAGATATTCTTTTCAACATTCTAGACTATGAATTCATTCTGTCACATGATAAATATGCAATGGAAGTTAAGATTGTGAAAGAGAAGTTTGATGAAAAATCTGAGAACTCGAAGTAATCGGAAAACCACTGCAGGTACCAACTGTATATAACAACTTTTTCTCATTTTATTTGAACAAATTTTATTACCCTGCAATTGACAAAATTACCAAAGAAATGTGATTTCAAGAAAAGTCATCAGAGATATTGTTGGCTCTTGCAGATGTTGTTTCGCTGGCTGCCAATGAAGATATCAAAATGATTCAAACAGCCTGATCTTTCTATGATATTGATTCTGACCCTGTTTTAGCTGAGAGGCACATACTGTCCAGCATGGACTCTCCAAAAAACATTCTTTCACCAATCTTTCATCTGTGGTTCACTGGCTTGAATATCAATCTGTGTTTAAACTTTTACCTCATTACAGTCAATTTGTGAAAAATTTTCCACCCATACCTGTAAGAACAGAAAGATATTTTATTAGTCTCTGCCACATTCTCACCTATTTGCATTCCAAGATGGGTCAGAAAAGACTTTGAAACCTGGTAATGGTTTATTGCAACAGAGATGTTGTGAACAAAGACCAAGAAAGTGATATGGACTAGATTATTGATTCCTTTGGTAACTGAAGCAATTGAGAAAAACATCTCATTTTCTAAAGATATTAGGATGGCAAGATTCTGAATGAATAAAAACATTATTTCTAAAACTAAAATGCATCTGTTTAATCATATTCATACTGTATAAATAGTTGTGAGCTTTTCATACATTGTTTCAAGTTTCATCCTTACTTATAAAAAGTTACATTTCATTTGTTTGAGTTTTGAAGTACGTAAGAAAAATATATTTGTGTTTTTGATTTTTAATCATGATGCTTGTTATATAATAAAATTTGTAGATTTTATATAAAAACACTCATGTTTTTTTAATTTGTGTAGATATTATAAGTTGTCCACTTTTTATGCATTTTAAAAGATAAAATGCTTAAAATTGCTGGGGGAACTTAAGCACTCCCTCAGACCTCCTAACTATAGACCTCACTGTGCTCGGCACATGCTCCGGAGCCCATGTTCATAGCCTTCAAAAAATCCGGACAGAAAGATACTGTAGCCATGTTTTTTGGAACCTTCCCCACAAGAATGAATTTAAGTAATTCATTGACTATTCCTTCATCTATGTCATTGACAAAAATCAAAAAGAACAAAGGTCCTAACAATAAGCTCTGAAGTACCCCACTTGTGACATTAACCCAGTTTGATTGAATTACATTTATAACAACCCTTTGATTTCTTCCATCTAGACATTTTTCTATCCAATGAGCCAATTTATCCTTCACACCTAGAGATTTTTTTTTAACAAGCCTTTTATATAGCATCTTGTCAAATGCTTTCTGAAAATCCAGATACATGAAATTCACACTCTTACCCTCATCTACTTCAGCAGTAACATCTTCAAAGTGTGTCAAGAGATCACTAAGGCAAGATTTTCCCCTAGTGAAACCATGTTGATTATCCAATAAAATTTTATACTTTGCAAAACATCTTTGATCATATTTTCAAAACCTTTCCCATCAGTGATGTAAGACTAATAGACCTGTAATTACCATGACAATTTTTATTACTTCCTTTTAAAAGAGGAGTGACATTAGCTAACTTCCAATCCTCTGTTACCATAAACAGTAAATCCACTAGTTGGCATGTAACTAGAAAGTGGACAATTAACTAGTCTCTCCACAACCTTTCTTATGTGATTTTCTTGGCTGATCTTTTATGTATGAACTTACTGAAAGCTTTTTGAAAATCTTTCTAATATAGATGACTAACTGGCCTATAATTTCCAGAGTAACTATTATCATCCCTTTTAAAAATAGAAGTAACATTACTACACTAGAAACTATTCAATTCTCAAACATCTGCCTAATGTCTATGGACATACCAAAAATGAAAAGAGAGAGAGAAGCTCACATTATTACATATCTAAAACCTTGTCTGCATGGCTCTGATGATTTTATCTATTTTAACTCTCTCAATCTTTCTACTTAAAGGGATTAATACTACACAATTCAAACTGACTCTTTATATTTTTCACAGAATGCTCAGGTTCAAGAACATTCTTAGTATCTTCTCTTGCAAAAATAAGAAAGAACATTTATAAACTCAGCCATTTCAAAGCCTTCAAAAAAACCTAGCCACAAACATCCTTTACCCAATTCCCATTTTAACATGTTGCTTACCTTTAACATGTTTAAAGTACCCTTGCTATTAGTTTTAACATTATGCACTGTTTCTTGTAAGTCCTTTTGGATTTCTTAATTTCTTTCTTTAACTAAACTCCTAGCTTTCCTATAGTTTTGTAAGTTTTCTAGCTTGTCTACAATTTAAATCTCTTAAACTTATACCATTTATCCTCAGTCTTCTCATGTATTCAATAAGCCATTGATACTTAAGAAAGGAAGCACATTATGCCTACCTATTATTATTCAGTAAGTCAGTTGTTTGATTTTCCCCATTATCCTGTTCTTCATGCTCAAGTTGAATTAAAAGCAATTTAATTTTTAAAAATTCCCCAAATCTGTACATTACTTTCTTACTCATTATCCCAATTCATGAAAAAAAATTATTTTTATGGCCTCAAAATATGTTTATTATTACACCTTACATTGTCTTATCTATTTATCATTAACTAATTTTTCTGGTCAGGATATAGAAGCTATAGTGTGGTTAAAATACTGTTAATGTTATACATTCTTCTTTACTTTCAGTTCACTCAAAGTTTTTGAATTCATATGCACTAAAACTAAAAATGTCTCACGAGTCATATATGTATTTTGCCTTTGGTACCCTAATAACCAATGTACACTGTAATATCCTGCAACAAAGACTGTAAAGTTTTGATTAACAATTACTGAATTAGTTCAATAGTTGTGAAATTATATCAAACTTAAACAATGGCTGGAAGGCCAGAAAATGTCCAAAAAGTGAAACTTTCCAGTCTCAGTCTAATCATGCTACGTTCGGTCTCATACGTCCTGATTATTGTCTATGTTATCTAAATACTTAGTAAAAAAGTGAGATCTTCAGTGACATCTGCAAGTGTAACTTGTAAGTTTAAAAGCGTGGGACTGATGGCGCAGCGATGTATTAGCCGTAAGTGTACTGTAAAGCATATTCTCATTTGCATACAAGGTACAGCATAAACTACCTTACTACAACTTATAAATATTGCGGTTACACTTATAGTTTAACTGTTAATGTTATTCTAAAAACAGGCGTAACTTTTGTTAGTGAGGCCTCGATGTTTTGAGTCACGCATCGCCTAAGTTAGAAACTACGCTTTCTTAAACACTGAGTACACAATAAAAACTAAAGGATACAACATTAACAACCTCACTTCCTTTTCTTTCTGCTTCATTTTTTTCAAAATTGTCAACAAGCCCATACCGCTTATACAAATTGCTAAATTATAGCATTTGTTTTATTAACTAACCGGCAAGGCACAATATCCACTCGTCTTCAACAGATCAGACGTAACATTTTAGTATTTTTTTTACTTTTTAGAATAGATGACGCGCTAGTACAAGTAAGCAAGCCATTTACCCATAAGATTAGTAATAATATATATAAGATCATAGAAATAGTAAGAATATACTTGAGTATATAATTAATTGCTAATTTTATGTACCAATTATGCACAAAAATAAACATATAATCCATAAACCCCTGAATACATGAAATCTGGGAATGTCTCCAATGAAGGATAGTTTTTCTTAGTTTACATTAATGTTTTCTATTTTGTGTTTTAAGAATCCTAAAAATTAAATGATTGTTCTCGTGAGTCGTTTGTACCCGTGCTGATTCACAAAGATCAAGATTATATAATCCTGTTACGTCTCTGGTCATTTGTTAATTTCCGGTATAAATTCTTCCCGAGGAACTTCAGCGATACAAGTCCTTTCTTAAATAAAACTAGTTTATTATATCTCAATACAACTTTGCAATACACAGAATTTCCACAGTCACTTTAACTTAAACACACGCTATAATTCACAACAATTCACGCACTTTAGTTATGATTACTACCGCTCGCTTGACTCAATTATCTGTCTCTCTATCTCTCTATCTGCAGTTATTTGTCTGCTTTATTTGCCGGGCTTATATACTGAAATAAAGGGCGTCTAGAAAAGACTAGAGTTGGCAGGAAAAGTCATGATCCTTCTAGAAACTCGTGACGTGTTACCAGCGTCACGCGACTTTCGCTGTCGTAACAATAGGTACACATTAATTTTATAATTCTTTAATTTTTAAACTTTAATAAATTCCAATTAATCCATTCAGCCACACTCAACGTATTGAAAACGCCAGCGAAATGTTTGTGAAAACTACTATTACAAGTAATACTACTAATAGTGTGGATTTGTATATCTTGATTTTTCGAAAAAATCTGACAAGGTCTGTTTAGAAAACATTACTTCTGTAACTTGATTGTTAACTGTGGCTGTAAGTGAAAGGGTTTATATACTAAAATAGAGGGCGTCTGGCAAACTCTCGGGCCTTTATGATATTTCTAGAAACTCATCACGTGTTACCAGGTTCACTTGACTTCCACTGTCGTAACAATCCGTTCTATAATAAGTTCTGAATCCTCGATCTTTCGAAAACATTCATGTATGATTTCCACTACGGATTCATGAAACCAAAGTATTGTGATGACTTATTATACTATGATACCGATTCTTATACTTGCAAGATATGAACAGATGACGTTTATATAAAGATATGAAAGAAAATATTAATTTATTTGATATGTCATACTATCTAAACGGTAATTCTTATGGTGTTCTGTTGGTAAACAAAAAATGTTTTGGGTAAAATAAAAGACAAGAAAAATGGAATTATAATGAATGAACTTTTAGAGCTTTGATCTAAGATGCATGCTTTAAAATTGCAAATGAAAAAATGTATAAGAAGTCTGAGGGTGTTAAAAAGTACGTTATTAAAAACATAATTTACTTTGATGAATAAAAAGGATGTTTATTTGATCAGAGAGAAATATATAAAAGTATAAATCTAATAAGAAATAAAAAGCATGAAATACATTTTGTTCAAAATAACAAGAAAGCATTAAACTCAAAGGATGACAAAAATATATTTTCCATATAATATTGGCACTTTAGCGTGGAAGCTATAAAAGTTTAAAGATATTGGATCACTTCAATATACTGCAACTTGTAAACTGAATGGTTTAAACCAAGGAAATGAATTTTCTGTCTCTGAATTAAAAGTAATTAAATATTTTAATATCCTTAAACTGTTATCAATTTTTATTGACTTCAATTAAGATTTTTTGAAAACTGAATATTTTTAATACATTTTATCTGTTAATGCTAAGACTAATATATCTCTTATATGAATCATTTGTAAGACAATTAAAAAGTAATTAAAATATTAGATGTGTTAATATGAATTTTAATTACTGAGTTGGCAGTTTTCGCCCCCCAGTGGCACAGCGGCATGTCTGCAGACTCACAACTCTAGGAACCGGGTTTCGATACCCAGGTTGACCGAGCACAGATAACCCATTGTGTAGCTTTGTGCTTAACTCCAAACAAAAACAGCGTTATTCTAATTAATATGTACGATTGAGCATTTTGTAATACTTTAAAATTGTTTACAATTTTTTAGATTTAATGTTGATGATTTTGTACACTTTTTCCTTGTATTTAGATTTTTCATTAATTGTGTGTGTATGTTTTATTATAGCAAAGCCACATCAGGGTATCTGCTGCGTCCACTGAGGGGAAATAGAACCTCTGATTGTTGCGTTGCAAATTCGAAGACTTACCGCTGTCTCAGTGGGGAACTTCACTAGCTGTCCTCCAAGTGGAGACAAACGAAATGTTAGTTATTTTTGGTGTTTTTAATGATTTCTACTTTTTTGAATTACTTTACCTCTAAGTGTTCCAGACCAATCATGTATTAACTACTCGGGGTAGTGATTATAAACAAATAAAATTACATTTGTTTAAGCTGAAACATCTAAACATTTCACACCAATACAGTTTAGAGAAGTTAATCCAAAATTTGCTATCATTTGAGGAAAATAATAATCGGCTAATATAGAATATCGAGTTTCATGTTCATGAACATCTGATATTGGAATGAAATACTTGAAAAACAAGGATAAATTATTATGGCTAGATGTTCTTCTGCCCGTTCTACGAAAGTGTTCTATTCCAAGAGTAACAAATATTTTTTATTTCTTGCTTTTGAAGCTCATATGTTATCCTTTGTTGTAGCCCACAGAATGCATAATTCTTCTCGCGATTCATGACATGCGCACCTTTTACTGACGTCACGATAGTACAGATTGTAACCTTAAGCGTCCCTTATGTGACCTCAATTTAGTCTCTACAGACTGACAGACAACACACTACTGTATATTGGTGCGAGTGGTTAAAACAGGTGACTCCTCTAGGCGACCTTCGGCCCTCTTGGAGGAAGTAAAATTTGTTCATAAATGTTCAAATTTCTGATTTATAAACATCGTGAATTTAGAAGATTCAAATCATAATATTACTGGGTAACAGTATATAATCTTATTAAGAGTTAGGTGTAAAGTGTATGTTTTGTAGCAAAACCCAAACTCAATACACCGTAATGAATACAAGTATCCTAATCAACATAATGTTTATGTTTTGAAATAACACTGGTTGCTTTAGCTAACATCGTACTAATACATTTTATGTGAAAAGACCATTTCATTTAATTATATCAATTATTACCCCTATATATTTAATAAGATTGGTTTGATTAATTACATTATCATGAAATCATTTATAATATATTACAGATTGCTTATACAATCATTTTTTTTTCTTTGGCGTATTCTGAAAGTAGATAGTTTGCAAAATCAAAGCAAATCCAAAATCGATTAATTTCATGAACATCATCTGTCAAAATGTTGTGCATCAATATAATACAAAGGACAGAAATGACACGTTTTTGTGTATTACACGATAATAATAATAATCAGCATAGCAAAGAATTTTATTAACAGTATAAAATACTCCAATACAAATAATTTATTTATCGTCGCAATACTCATACTTCACTTTTCGCAAAACCTAATACATAAACTACATGAATTCCCAACATTTTATGATAATATTACATGAAATAACTATTACAGCAATTAATCTGTATTTCTTTATAAGTGAAATGTCCTCAACCTTTCCAATAGACTAAAAGTTAAATTATAAGATTGAGGGGAAAACTCATTTCTTTTGTTCCTAGAAAATTCAGTTGAAACATAAACTAATTTAAAAAGGTACATTATTGTGCAAAAAACATGTAACTATTTATTTCATTAGTTTTTTGGTATCTATGTTTCTCGGTATAAATATGTCACCGAATAAAGAAGTTTACAATCATCTGAATAACATCCAAGAAATTTATCATGCAGCCATCATACTGGGTGGCACATTCGGAATTCTCTTGTCTTCCATATCTAGCTGCCAACTGATATTTTGAGACAACTTTCATCGGTTCCTCTACTTCGGTATAAGGCCTGAAATATACAAAATTCGTATATAACTCTAGCACAATTCAAATAACAGATAGAGCTTACTAAAGTCTTATATACAAGTTTCGTAAAATAATGTATTATTCTGAACTAATAAGAATAAACTGACTTTCACAGTTTCTATCTATCTATCAATAAATTTTACTTACGGAAATATCAATTGTATAAGAAATCCTATCATTCCGTATTTTTTTGGTTGGCTATTTGCTTCGCATATGCTTCGCTTCAAACATTCTTGCGCTTCCAGATGAGGCAAACTAGGTAGGTCTTCTAGGGATCTCTCAACCATTTTCATCACATATTCGGATACTCCTGAAAGCCCCTTACTTAAAAACTCGCTTCCTTGATGTCCCTGGAATGCTTTAAAACTCCTACCAAAGCTTCGAAGTCCAAGAGGCGAAAGAAGCAGGGGATAGAACAGAGACAAAGCACCAAAGCTTACGATTCCTAGCAATGCAATGTTGCCAAGGTTAATGGAAGAAAGGTAAGTATCAGAAGGCGAATGACGGCCATATCCAGGAATAGTTACAGTGAAAAGTGGAATATTGATAGCAAATGAAGAATTGAAATTTCGATCTACATAGAGTGATTCAAAATCATAAAAGCCATTCTTGTCCTTGTCATCTGTCCCTACTTTATCTGAAGCTCTGGAACTATGCGAGGTCAAATTTTTGGCTGCAGATAGCATTGTCAGTACGATGAAAAATATGGATAATGCAACTGAGACCTTCATTTTTCACAATCTCTGTAAAAAAGAACAACAAAAAAAACACATATACATACGTACTCAGAGAAACTGATATTTATTTGCTTGGTTGTGAAATAAACACCTCTGAAGGAAAAACTTTGATAATTAACATTACTTTACTAAACAGGAATAGTGGAAGCAATCTGTTTTTCAAAGGTCTCTCTCCTAATCTTAACCTCTACAGAAATTGCACAGTAGTTCAACATCGTGAAAATTCTAGC